ATATAATTTTTCCTGCATATCCATGTCACATATTTCATATCACTTTGCATGGAATCACGTAGGTTGTTTCATATGGCTTATATCATTTCTCCTTTGTTCATATACATATGTCATATATACATCACATAACATATAGAATAACATATAAACTTATGCATAAATCATTTCCATTTGATTCACATATCACCTATCTCATTGCTTATATCTCTTAAGCACTTAATCACTTGTCTCATAATTTCATATATTCACCTATCACTTATCACATTGTTTATATCTTATAATCATGTAATCATACCAAACATATTCATACATACATGTATTTACATAAATCACATGTAGAAATGCACTTACTCTATAGACATATCCATGTATTCATTTTATTGCTCTTATAATCACATATAATAACATATACCTATTTTCATGTACTCATGCACATATAAAAATTCCATCAACTATATAACATTTTAGGAGTCACTTCTTACCATTGTAACTCTGCCACTGGCTTATCGCAAGCTAATGTATGTTCAATAACATATGTACAATTAAATTGCACTCACCTTAGCCTTTCTTTGATTCGATCATAATTCTTTGATTGTTCCGAAACTTGTTTAGGCTCAATATCTACATAAATATAACATTTCAAAACAATTATCAGAAGCCTAAACCTTAAACTTGATGTTAATAACTTAAGTCAATTTAATGAACCAAAATTCCATTCATTTTTTTCTTTAGGAGGGAATCGATACCCCCCAGGGGAATCTGTACCCCCTGCATAATCTGGAATTTTTCGTTCAAGCCCAGAAATTACTGTTCATACACGAAAATTCACTATATTAACTTAAATTCTTCATGTTTCATTCCCTTTCATACTCCTAACTTATATATACATGCTTAAACTCATTTATATCCATTTATTTCATCTTAAACCTCAAAATTCTAACACTTATAACTTCTTATTCTCATATATGACAAGTCAAATTCATCCTCCAAATTCATTTAAACCTTCTTATTTAAAATTTCACTTAAAACCTCTTTTTTTTTAATTGTCATAACTCCCTTATCTTTTGATTTTAAGATAACTTAAGCTTTCCTTAAGCTTAGTTATCATCTAATCATCAAAACCCAACTTAAATTTTAGCTAATAATCAATAAAATAGAAACTCACCTTTACCTAGATTCCACGGTTGGAGAAGAAGAAAAGAAAAAGAAGAAGATGAAATGTTTTCATCTTACTCTCCCCCACTTGTATATCTCCTATTAAAGGGGATAAAAAATATATTTCCTTGTCAATTGACCATTTTACCCTTTAATTCCTTGAATAATTACTAACAACTTCCCGAAAATATTCCCAAATAAATTATTGAACTATTCAACTATTCTACTTTAATCATCAAATTTGAAATTTTACAATTTAGTCACTAACCCATAGTTTGAGATTTTACAGTATCATAGGTAGGCTAAGGTGTCATCCTGAGATGCAAAAAATTCCTCCAATCACACCACTAAATCTACCTCAGCACTTACTAAATACTATTTTGGGTTCCTTTATAAGCCAACCATATATTTAATTAGTGAAGTATAGTGAGATATGTAGATAAATTTATGATTATAAGATTTTTTTTTTTGCTAAAGATTATAAGATCTTTTTATCTTCTAGTTGTGAAATATATAAAATGATTTTCGATCTAAAAAATATAAATTGATTTGATGTTCTTAGAAATTTAATTATAGATGATGTAAAATTAAATAGGATTGACGTTTTATATTGATGAACCAATTTCGTTAATTCCCGCCGTTATAGATTAGAAAAATTACATCATTTCTCACTCAGTTATTTTATTCTCTTTTATTTGGTCACTAACTCTACAAATTTTCAATTTCACAAACTTTAAAGATTTTATGACTAAGGCTGTAGTTAACACATTTTATTTTAAGGTAAACTAAACAATGATGACTTTTGTTTCAAAGATAAATTACGGGTCTTTTTGTAAACCAAAAATAGTTAATGGATAAAATATCAATTTACCCCTTTTTTTCATATGTTTTCTTCTCTAAATCATCTTCTTCGCACCACGTCGCTTCCCTGCTTCATCTCTACCTTCATATGAAATATTTTTTCCTCTTTTGTTTGAAATATCATGATACAGAACTTAAATCTATATGAATTTAAGGAACAATTCAATTACTTCATATAACTATTAGACAAATGTAAGTTTTAAATATTTCCAAACTATACTTCTTTTTTTTCAAAAAAAAAAGGGTTAAATTAATATATACATTGACTAGAGAAGATGAAAATGTCCGTACGGATGATTCCACGAATAAAAGGGTGCATTCGAGAATTCAAAATTGCTAGAAACAGAGATCTGATGAGTTTTTTAATTATTAAAATCAATATCTTAGTTATGATGTGTAAACGATCAATTTCGTCATTTACATCGAACAATATTGACATTGGCCTATCGTGTTCATTTTATGTCGGCCTTGTTAATTATAAAATATTTTTAAACTATATTTTCCAAATTGTTAGTAATTGAAACAAAAAAGAAATTAGGGTTTGGATATATATCGATAACACATAAAATTAGGATTCCAGAAGGCTTGTGTAATAAGATTCTATGGAATAAGCTAACAACCCTAAATTGATATTGATAAACATTTAAATTAAGGAAAGGAGGAGGAGGAGGAGGAGGAAGAAGGTTATCAATTTCTTAAAGTGGTATATATATTACAATATTTTTGACAGAAAACCTAACTATGACTTGTATGGTTTCATATATTACAAAAAATATGGAAGGTGAAAAGTGGTCCGTTAGCAAAAAATAGGCAACCAAATCGAATAATTCCCCCCTGCAGAACTATAGTAACCCTTGTAAAGCAGTGGGAAAAGGTAGGTAAATTATTCCCAAAGGGAACTAGTCCCAAAGCTACCTGCTGTTAAGTTCTCTGTAACCCATATCTGATCAGAGAATCCTCCATAGAAATCTAGTGGTGGATACGCCCACCCATCTACCGAGTCAGGGAGTATAACTCGTTCCGCGAGTCGAAATTCCCATCTATGTTGGGTAACTGAACGATTTCACTCAGCTCCTCGGGTTCTTCCGAGGCATTGGACTCTGAGGGGGATGAAGATTCAGATACCAAAGACGACGACGACGAGAGGGTGTTGGAGTTGACCATTGAAGCAGCTTAACAGCGGCGGCTCGGATGTCACGGGGCAGTAATGAAACCGGACGTGGAAGCGAGTCCACAAGATCCGGAAAGTTAAGAATGGCGGCTTCACCTTTGATGGTCAAAGCAGCAACGTCGTGAGCGCGAGCCGCCATTTCTGCGGTGGGGAAAGTGCCGAGCCAAATTCGAGATTTCTTGCGTGGTTCACGAATTTCAGACACCCATTTGCCCCAACTCCTCATTCTCACTCCCCTGTAAACCGGATTTCCCCCCTCTTCCCTGGCTCTTTTAGCTTGGCTGCCAATTTCTGAAGAAGAAGAAGAAGAAGAAGATGCGTTTGAGTTATCATTGCTGCAACTCTCAGCTTCAGAAGATGAAGAGTGGTTTGGTCTTGTCATTAGGCTTTTCAGAGAGTGTCAGTTTGAGAATCTCCAATGCACACAATTTAAGGCTACAGAAAAGTAGAGAATTACATTGAATATACACAGAAAAACGGGGATGAAAGTTTACTGTGAGATGGAAAAAGAAAAGAGAAGCAAAAGGACGCTCCTTCCCAATGCGACCCTTAACCTACCATTATTTGAGATGGACAAAAACTTGTAAACAAAGTGCAAGAAAATTTTCAGAATATGCGAATGAACAGAGAGATGAGTAAAAGATAGAAAATAAGAACGGGAGAGGCTCATTTAAATTTGCGTCGGGTTTCATATGTTTAATATTATATTGGGTGTGGGACCAATAGAAGAATGGGTCATCTACACACCTTAACAACGGTGAAGGTCGTGGATACTGCACGCATATACAAATCCAAGTGTCCCAGCTGCAACGTTCTAATTCCAAACACTGGAGTTTGTCTCTTTAAGACCCTTTTGGGGTTTTCCTTCTTGTCTGTTTTTATTGTCGCATGTTTTATTAAAAGTTTATAATTTATAATTTAAGATTAAATTTATATTGAAATTTAAAATTGAAGTAACTATATCAGGTAAAATAAAATCTATACGACTTACATATAAAATAATGATTAATTTTTCTAAATTATCAATTAAATCGGCTAACCAACATTTATTGGTGTGTTAGTGTTTCACTTTCTGACCTGATTGTTTGTTTTGATATTTCTTTATTTTTCATCATCTCTCTTTCTTGTCGCTTAAATATGTCATCATATCAAATAGTTAAAAAATCAAATCAATATTTAATTAAAGATATCAAATCTTCTTAATGCAGTATGATTATATGAATTTTTGGTTTTATTTTATATAATGATCTTTTTAATGTTCTATAATGATTTTGTATCGCCTAAAATCGGGTTGACAATCTATTTAAATTTTAATGCATTGAAAGTTAATAATTTTAATGATTTAATATTATGCGTATATTTGGTAATTTAAAATAAATTTTATATACTGCAAATTTTAATAAAAAATGAGAAAATAGTTAAGTAAATAAAAATAATTTGTCATTCAATGTCAGTATTTATTTTATTCCGTTTAAATATATATTTTTCCATTAATTTGTATATTTATTAAATGATCTAATTATATTTTTTTATTTGATTTCAAATAAGATACTAAAATAATTATCCTAATATCTCTAATTTATCAAGTAACATATTAATTAAAATTATTTGAATCGATGTTAACAATATCTGGAAACCGAACAGATTGGGTTTTCATATGGTTTCATTTTAAACGTCTAAAACGCACAATATCTGGGCCTTTGTTTTTTTGGAGGGGTTAATTAACGAGTTAGAAATGGGCCTGGTTGGTAGGCCTGAGACTGAGCTAGATTCTTCAGGAGATCTCATTTCTCAGATGGAGTCTGATCGGAAAGTTGCCATTTTCAAAACAAAATATACAAATTAGCAGGCACTGGAAGAGCTCAAAACGGAGGCAAATCACCGACCAAACACACGGTAAAATGAGTGCAGGTAACTCAACAACATGAAAATAACTTTATTTTTTGTTTCTTTGATAATAATCTCTTCAAAATTTCCAGTTTATCAGTGTACTCCTTAAAATTGTCGTGTTCCTCTGCTCTTAGTTGTTGCCAGTTCCCATCGTTTTGAAGCTTATAAAAGAAACCTTTTCGTTGGGGTTATTTCGAGTCTGTTGCTTTCTTAGAACCCTTTATTTTCTCTGTCTTTGTTTAAATTGCTGGTTAGGTGTTCGATAAAAGTCCTCTGAAGATACTAGTTTTGTAGGTCCCCGAATTGTATAGCTCCTTTTCAAATACAACCAGTCCATCCATTTCTGTAATCATTCTATTTTTTCTTTTGGTGGAGTAATTGTGATTTGTGAAGTTGTTTTGGGGGCAGGAGGTGCATTTGGTGGGAATAGAGGGCTAAGACCAGTGCCACCTGAGAAAGGCATCTTCCCGTTGGATCATTTGCACGAATGTGACTCGGTGAACAATCTTGCTTTTGATTCTTGAACATCATTAAATTTTTTGTTGAAACAAGATTTTGAATGGGATGTCTCCTTTGTATATTTAACTTCAATGTTACCAACTTCGTTTTTGTAGGAGAAGAAAGAGTACCTTAGTTGCCTTAAAACTTCTGGCCACAAATCCGAAAAATGTAGACATTTGTCCAAGAAATACTTGCAGTGTCGAATGGAAAAGTAGGAAGCAATATGTATATGATTATATTTTTGATGTGATAAGCTTAAGGTATATGATGATGAGATTCGATGGAAATTGGTTCTTCTTTTCGACAGGAACTTGATGGCGAAACAGGACTTGTCGGAACTTGGATTTGGGAAGCCATCGGGGATGGAAGCTTCTCTCGGAGATTAATTGTCAGAAAAATGATGGATTGATACTCAATTTCTTGACATGTTTTTCTTCTTCTTCTTTGCTCATAGGAATGTCCCCCCAATTTATGTTTCAGAAATGAACGAAAATGATAAATTAAAGTATTTATTATACAATAATTTTCAGTTTGTATTCATTGACACCGTTAGTTTTAGATGCCAAAAATCAATAGAAATAACCAACAAATCATTTTATAAAACTTAAGTTAAATTCGTAACTAAATTAACTGACTCAGATAAATAAAAAGATATTAATTCAATGTTTAATTTGATCGGTTTTGGGTACAAGGAATAATATCACAAAGGACAAAGTGTGGTATATTTTTAAAGAAAAGACTGGCGGGAGACAAAACCTATGAAAGACAACACCATTAACCTGTAATTAAAAAAAATGATTTCTTTAAACTATCTACCTACTTACTTACCTCGGTGCCTTCGCAGCAACAAGTGCTGAAACTTTAATTTCTGCAGTTTTAAATGACTAACACACTTGTCCCTTTCTTCTCTTCTTTTGATTCTTCCATGGCCTTCCATTTGTTTCTTCAACTGCCCTGTTTCTCCTACTACACGTAAGTTCTCTCTCTCTCTTTTTCTCTTCCCCCATTTACGTCTTCAATGTTATTTACTCCTTGAAGCTATTACCTTCTCTCAATGGATTGAAGGATTGAAAACCAATATATATATTTGGTTTTTGTCGCCTTTGGCTGTGTCATATCTATAGTAATCTTTTAATCTGTTGCATCTGCTATTTACTTTTAACTGATTCAGAATATGCATTTTTATTTGATTGCTTTTGGTTTTATATGAAGTCGGTTCACTTTCTTATATATTATCTTATATAGAATTTAGAACCAAATATCGTACTGTAAATTATCCATCTGATTCATGTAATATACATTTTGGATAATTTAAAAAATACTTATCAAAAATCAAAAGGCTGAATTAATCGAAATGGAAGATTGGAAGCAATCCGATACTAATGGATTTGTTTGTTTGAGAAGTTGAACATATTATCTGTCACAGACAAACCTTTAAATCCTCTACTGGATGGAACTGGAAGCCTAGTTCAAGTGCATTACACGGTTCACAGTTCCTCCAAAGGTTACAGGGGAATCGTTTCATGGTAAATAAGAGCAATTTACTTGGATTGTGGTTTTCTGGTTACACTTCTACAAAGGGTATATCTAGAAGTCCGATGTCAGCAGTGTCATCTTCCCCTCCTTGTGATCCTTCTGATACTAGCAATGAGGCTCTTTTACCCAATGCTGATTCTCCGGCAATCGAATTCAATCGGGTGAGTTGTCTTGTTTGGGTATTACATGAAGCTGCCAGAAGCTTTTCCCTTGCAGTCGAGTCACTTGAGTTGGATGGAAGCAGTGCTGAGCTTGCAATGGCTTGGAATGGAAAGGATGTGCATCAATGGCATAAACGTATCGCTCATCGGGTATATGCTCAAAACCCCCAAATAAATAAAAACTAATTATGAGCCTTTACAATATATTTTTTTTAAAAGTCCAGAAATGTTACGTTTAAAGTAATGAGATTTTTTTTGCTGGAAACCACTTATTGACAGGTTAACCATATGGTGCAAAACTCTAGTGTTCTATTTGTTGTTTGTTCCTTGAACACCCATCACACGGATGCTTTTGAAGAACTGAGATGGGATATTTTTTTTGAATTATTAAAGAAAATGAATAATTGAAGAAGAATTATTGACTAATATGATTCCTCAGGTAGCTGTTTATGCTATGTTGAAAACGGTTTTCGAAGTGGAGATATTGCTATCTCAGGAACGTCATAACAATCCATCCCCAGTTAGAAAGATGTAAGTTTTTTTCGAACTGCTAGATCACACTCAGATAGTGTTTGTGCTAGTACCCGCAGAAAACTTCCCAAGAAACTCTATGTTTCTCTGACCATGGCCAAGTCTACTGTCTCAGTTTCCTAATTATGCCCGGTGAAAGTGGTACTTAGCAGCTCTACTGTTTTGTTTTCCCATTTACTTCAGCTTGACTGCAGAGACGGATTTGTTAGAGGAGTTCATTGAAAGTCGGTTGAAATTGAGACATCCGGAATTGGTACAATGGTTCAGAGTGGTGGAACTTCCAAGGATGACAGGATATTTCATTCCATTGTTAAAGAAATGGTCTACGGAGTATGCAGGAAGGTTTGCTCAAAATACTTCTTTGCTTTCAACCAAAAGTACTTTTTCTTCCCTATAGGAGTATTGAAACCCTCCCTACTTATTAACTCCGTCCCTATGGTAAATGTGAAATAGATTCATATGTTTATTTCTCCACACATCCTATAATTTTACCTTTGAATAAATCATTGATTATCCTGCAACCTGTGGTTTAACCTAAACACAAGAATATTCAGTGGTGTTGCAGGAATTATTGTGGCTATTAGCTGCTGTGCTGCTGTAGAGAAATTATGTTCTGAACATATCTCTTTTCCCTTGTCTAAAATATCAGTAGACGATGTTATAGTGAAGCTTATGGATCTTTCACACGGTATTGTTTCGGTCGACAAATTACACCAGTTAGCCACTGAGGCAGGATTTGAAACCTGTTTCCTGTCACATTTTGGTGCAAAGGTTCTGTCTAGCAAGAAGAGTGATGAGATAGAATTTTGGATAGGGTTGGCTCAGAGGAAACTCTCAGTAGCTTTCACCAAAGAAACCATGATCCCAGGCAAATTAGCATTTAACAGCAAGGTCTGTCTCATGATTCCCCAATATTTTAGTTTTTCGGCAGTTTAAGTTGTTATAAACATTTGATTTTAAAACTTTGATAGGTTCAAGCAGATAACTTGGCTACATTAGGACTTTTCGCATATCTAGGAAGGAAGACTAGATTGATTTTATCACAGTTGCGTATAAATGATCTTGATGAGCTGGTGAAGGACTTCCTGAGGTAAAACGTGTCATGATTTCGTTGACTCCTGATTACTGCAACTCATCATTCAAATATGCTATAAGAGTTGTAGTGCTTTGGGTGCAGCTATTTGGAGTGCGGCTGCCTTTTCATTTACCCGGAATTCTCTTTCATATCATTTTACCAATTCTTCATGGAGGTTAGTTTTGTACGCCCCAGTTGGAAATGCCTGACACTGGCCTTTTCATTTCCCCATAGAGTTTGTCAAGAATTCTTGTACTATAATCTCACCCTCTATTCCTGACTTAGAACATCACATTGAACTATGAGAGTGAATCTCTAACCTACATTTTTCCGAGACTCGAATCAAATCTAACCTGAATGCTAAAATTATACATACAGGTAGTAACTGATGAAATTGGATGGCTTGAATTTTATGGAAATAGTTCTTGCAGTAGCAATTATGGAAAAAGGTCCAAGCAGCATGCAATACAAGCAGAGAAAGAAATCGAATTATCAAATGTTTTTACTGTTTGCTATGATGTTTTTTCTGGGTTTGCGCACTTCAGCCGCTCAGCTCAGCAGCCCTTAGATTCTCACTTGTTAGCATTCTTGCTCCAGAGGTTGCCAATAATCTTTCTACCAATGATATTTGAGCTTATTGTTTTTTTAGTAAATTCAGTTTTTAAGATTTGTTATCGGAAATTTTCAGCCAAAGGTTGTTATCTTTATGTCTGGAAGATTACTGGGCTGCTTACGATAGAGCAGGGTATGTTGGTTGTTTCATACGGCATTCCCCGGGTGTTTTCCACGGTAGAATGAGCTATGTACTAAAAGAATACATTATTGAGCTAATATTGAAATATCTAGCAGGGAAGCGTTAAACTTGGGTGCCACTAAGCATGGACCATCTACAGGAGCAATTGGCACAACCCAGTTTTCAATGGCCTTGAAAGCAATGGTAGAGGAATCTCAAATTGATGACTTTGGACATTTTTGTCTGCCGAAAAAGGTACAGATTCTACATTCAGATATGCGATGTTATGCCATTTCCTTTTACAATAAATTCCATTTGGCAGCTTCTTGTATATTTGAAGGAAAACAAAATTGGTGAGATCCTGTATGACTGTAAGTAAGATAAATACAGTTCAAGCAATGTTAGTTGACTCAGAATCTAACAATCCCATGAACATAAACCTTTCTCCTATCTGGAAATAACTAAGGAAAAATTGGTGTTTTGCATGTCGAAGCTGCAATAGTATTGTGGGAGACCAGATGTGGTCATATGAACAGTGATGACAATACTAGGTAAGATGAGCAACAAAGTTCAGTTCAAAGGTGGACCAATGAGATAGGTTCCAGTAGGAGCAGGGTTAAGATGATGATAAAGCCATAAAGGTATTAAAGAATGTAAATGCCATCGAATTTAGCATGAGGCACGGAAGTATCAGATGAGCAATGTGGCAATGCCTCGTCTCAGTTGTCCAGATCTCTTATAGTTTTCCCATTCGCAAGCCTGAAGCAGGATTTTTATTTATTCCTTCTACCGTGCAACCATCTCTAACAAAGAAGAAAAGCGTCACAAACCATGAAACTTCATTTACTAATGCAAAATCGATATGCAACCCTGAAACCAACAATGCCGCTGAGCAAATTGACTTATTTAGTCTCTATTTTGACAGGTAGTTTTGGGAGATTGCAAAAATCCTATGCGAAACCATTTACAGTTTTTCTTTTGCTATTGATAGCTGCAGCACATCAGTTCAGCCAGCAAAGAAAAGATAACCTTTGCAGAGGGAACTGACATCTCCAAATCAAATATCCTGCATGAGAGTTTAATTAGAAAATACTGCACCAAATTGATCGCTTCAAGTCATGTAAGTCCCATAATGCTTCTTGTCCCTGAAAAGAGTGATACCAGATCTTTATGCTTCGAGCATTAATAGTCAAATAATGTTTGCAGGACGTATGGTTGGGAACTCAGTTGCTATTTGTCGACATCACATTTTCCCTGGAGCTACTTGCAAAGCAATTGCGAGGCCAGAAGGTCACAGACAGAGAAAAAAGGAAGTTAAAAAGAACATTGAACGATATTGCTACACTTATCCCTGTTACAGTTCTAATGCTCCTTCCTGTAAGCAGTTTAACTCCTCTCACCAATGCTTTCATCAATCGTACGATGATTACCCCCTATTATAAACTCTTATTGTTAAATTCTTTACCATCAACAGAACCATACCTATGTTTGACATTCACCCTCAAGTCTGAACAACATGGAATAGCTTATGTCATTTTCTTTTACATATTTTAATGGTCAGGTATCACCTGTAGGCCATGCAGCAATGCTAGCAGCAATCAACAAGCACATACCATCTTTGGTAAAGACGTCATTGTTGGCTCGTCTTCTATTTTACTAACCCATTTTAAACTTCGTGCTAAGCCCTTCATTTACTTCCATAATTAGATTCCATCACCATACACTTCTGAGCGTTTGGATGTTGCGAAACAACTGAAAAGAACAAAGAAGATGGAAGTTACATCGTGGAGCAACCTTGAAGACACTACATCTTAAGTATTTGTCAGTCTAAACTACTTTTTTTTTGGGTAAATTTATAAACTACCTATTTGATACCTCAATTATTCTCGTTGTGCTGTTACAAATTATTATTTGAAAATAGCAAATTGTTGGGAAAAAAACAAATTTATTCTCTTTTCAATTTCATTTTATAGAATGATATTTGCCATGTGTTTAGATAATAATGATAACTTCCAATGTTCATAACAAAATGAATTTTTAATTGAATTTCCATATGGAAGAAAATAAATGCCAGGAAATTTAATCATTTATTTTGTATCATTTGCATTCTACAACAAATTCTTGGAAACGCGAAATGCTGGTAGCATAAAACCCTAAATCAATTTCACATGGAACATACCTTTATTAAGCTAAAGAAGGAAAATTGAGACAACATTTGCAGGCATTTCAACTTTTAACAGATCAAAAGATAGTAGAAATCTGGAAAAGGTCAATACAACTTCATTGCTTCATAGAGTTTTTGAGCAAGATCTGCCGTTCACGTACATTGCCTCCCAACAAACATCTTCTCTACAAAATTGTAGCACATCCTTTCTAATTTAATGGTATTCCTCACATAGATTACAAGCAATGCAATGGTCAAGGATGCTTGTGATATCACTGCTTCATTACTTAAAAAGACATTACCATCATTCAAGACCATACCTTACACTGTCCTCTTTGGATCACGAGCGGCTGCAAGATGGTCCTGCAAAACAAAAGCCAGATTCAGATTAGATTATCAGGTATAATCCACAAATAGCTAAACAACATAGAAAATGCTAGAGCTTAGAACTTGCCAAAATAAAATCAAATGCTCTGGTGTCCTCTTTCTTGGAACTTTTCAGCACTGAACTAGCCATTTGAGCTGGAAAATTTGACTGGAAAATATCAGGCAGAGGCGATCCTCCATTTAATCCACTGGGTGCATGATTAATCCCAACATTTTGTGCATTAAGATTACCAAAGTGTTGTAAGTTAGACATTGTAGCAAGCAATTGCTGCTGAGCAAAGAAACACCCATAGCATCATAATTCATAGGCTGAGAAGAAAAGGTTGGGTTCAACATTATTCCAAGAGGAATGGCATATGGCATGATTCTGAAGGAAACATTGGGTTTTTACTCATCCTAGTGGCTTGAGAACCAAGGATACCGCTCAAAGCATCATTAGAAGCTTGATGGCTAGAATGAGTGTTGATGTTGGCAAATCTATTTTCAGGGGCCTCAGAAGTGATTCCTTTCTGCTCCGAATTAGATAGATTCTCAGTCATTGACAAGCAAGCTATTAAATCATTAACAGAGTCCTTTTTAATCTCTGCTTTGAATGGAGCTTCAGAAGTGGTCCCAAAGATATCAATTAGTTCAGATTTTTCATTTGCAGCCACATGATTACCACTGACAACTGACTCGCCATCTATTGTCATCCCAGAGAAGAGATCCTCCACATTTTCTCTACTCTCATTAGTGTGAAATGAGACACCTGCAAAGGGATCATCATCATCATTCTGTTCAGTGGCACCAAGACCAGCATCTATACCATCTCCAAATAAGTCATCAATAAGCTGGGTTCTGGTCATATTTGCAGTATTTTGATTATTTGGGTCTTTTGAGGAAGCATCTTGTCCATCATAATCATCTAGATCACCAGTGTCTATCAGGTCAGGCCTTCGAACAGGAGTGATCACAGGCTTTAAAGATCTTTCTGAATTACTACCAGCCAAATCTGCCTGTTCCCTGTTCAAAAGGATCAACACCTGTTTACTAAGATCACATATATATGTCAACTTCTGCATCGATTCCGTTCACGCAGAAAATAATATCTTACCAGCTATAAATCAGCATCAGAATACATAATAACTAATCAAACTCATATAACATTAAGGGTCATGATAATTAAAGTAAAGATTAAGCACACTGAACATACAAAGATCATGAATATTGTCATGTATGATGAAGGGTAATAAAAAAAGCAACTGAATTATAATGTGACTGCTGCAAGAACCAATCCTAAAACAGCTTGATCTAGCAAAACAGAGAGAGAAAGAGAGAGGAGAAAACCATACAATCATGGCACCAACAAACATCGTTCAAGACTAGTCCTTAAACTGTAAAAGAACGATGTTTATCTGGTTAAAGTAAAAAAAAAAATTGACTAACATAATTACCTTGTTGGCCTTCTCTCTGACAGAAGCTTGGGGAGACTCGGAACATCTCAAAACAATATCCTTATTCTCAGTAAAGTAAGAAGCCACAATTACAAAATGCTCATCTTCCTTTCTCCTCAAAATGGACTCAAGCACACACATAGCTTTCATGCAAACCTGACAATAAAAAAATTCTTGTTGAGGTTAAAAAAATAAGTGAAAAAATGCTCCATTCATTATTTTGGAAGATATCAATATAGAATTATCACCAATATGAAACATGTTTCATGATTGTCAAGTGGTCGAGATGATAATCACTTAATCAGTTGGGTGGATTACCTGCGTAGAGCTAAGTAACCCCCACCCCCTGTGGCCTTGTCATTAAATGATTGGATACATAGAAGCAAAGAGTTACCTGCCACACCGGAGAAAGAAGCTTAGATTCAAGGGCATGACTTAAAGCCAATGCATCGAGCTTTGCAGCCTCCACGAGGAAAGCCTGAATGGCATCGCTAGTAGGTTGTAGACGTACACCAGATGTAACTATGGTTTCCAACAATTTTTCTTCACGAGTTTTAGGCTCTGAATGATTTGAGCTAGATTCCATACTTGTTTCTGCCTTTAATACTCTCGAATCCTGGCCCCAAGGTCCACTAGAAGTATTCTACGAAACCCCTCGAGTGTCATTGTGCAATTCAACTGTATCATATCTATTAGAATGGTCAATTTCTGTAGTTAACGACCTTCGAAGGGTAGGACTTCTGTAGTTTCCATTATCATTCTTTCTAACTGAATGACCCTGAGTGAAACTACTAATCCCCTGCTTGATAGAAGCACTTCCAATACCGATTACCTCACTTGGGAGTAATTTTTTCTGATTCCAATGGCATTTCGAAGTTTTTGTTGCCAAAATCCTTCAATTCGTTTGTTGAAGTCATCTGCTGGAGGAGACTTATTAAGTTCTTCTAATATTTAAGAAATGGACTCATGAGCTGTTTCCCGCGCGGCCTTATTAAGTGTATCCCCTTCAAAGGATCCGGCTGCCCCTTGTAATGAAATAACTGCCGTACAGCTACTGAGTTCCTCTGCATCTCTCTCCTATACTCCACACCAGACTTTCCCACTGCATATTTTATCAGCCTCAAAGCCTACAAAAATCCTGCCACCCGCTGAGTATCACGTTTGAATAGTTCAAAATTATGACACACGTGC